AGTGAAGGGTTAACTACCATATGGCATGAAGGAATTTGGGGAGGTAATATAAATGCTGTAGATATTGTAGTGATGGTTCTGTAGTGGTATGCATGTATTCATCTTTTTTGTATCCCAGAGGATTCTGTTTATAACATTCTGTTTCTGCCTTTTGTTCCTGTGTGTGATTGACCTGGCATTTTTGACTCCTAAACTGAGCTGGTCAGGATCCTGGTATGGAGGTAACTTCAACCTCATAACATGAGTTAGGGAGTGTCCCTCCTTTTTGATCTTTCTGCCGGAGAAAGACAGATAGTATGAATCTCACCAGCATCTGAAATGAAAAAAAAAATGGCAAGATCCTAGAAGCAGAGTAGAATGGTGGGGAAATTGGTCAAGGATGCAGAATTTCACTTAGACAGGAGGAACAATTTAGGGAGTTCTGTCATTCAGCCCACTCACTACAGTTAATAACAATGTATTGGTGCCTGAAAATGGCCTCCTGGAAGTTGAGAGTCCAATGGTGGCTATCAGAGGCCCAGGAGAGTAGAGGGAGGGGTGGGGGAAGGTTGGTCAATGGGCACTCAGATACAGTTAGGTAGGGGTAAGGAGTCCCGGTGTGCAATTGCGTGGTAGGGTGAATATACACAACAATTATTTACTGCACATTTCAAAGAGCCAGAAGAGGACTTCATCTGTGGCCACCCCACTGGAGGAAGGTGAGATGACAGGTGACATTGCCAAGTCTCAGGTCACGTGGACTGATGGTAGCACAATGTTTGGGAAGATCACCTACAAGGAAATCCCAGAGAAATAATTTTTGAGGATGAGTAGGGTCTTGCTTCCTGTGACCTTTCCCTGAAGCACTAACATGCTTTCTGGAGGTACCCCAGAAACAGGTACTCCAGATTTCTACAGCAGCAGTGGATGCTGACAAAAGTATTCTTGGACATTTCAAGATTGCTGGCAGGAAATGTGATTTTGATCTGGGCCTGAAGAAGGCTTATTGAATGTTGGTGAATGAAGTTTCAGGGGTGAAGGAGAATGTCCATCATGTTCATGTGCATGTCCTTGGAGGCTGGCAAGAAATTGGCCTAACCAGCTAAGCATGTTTTGGGGATAATTGCAGTGATAAAGTGTGCAAGTTCCAACATGTCAAGCACTATGCTCATTTTTTGCCTGTGCAGGGAGAAATTGAGAAAATAATTATTTTTAAAAAATATCCATAATACAAACATTGTTGCATGGTTAAAAATATGGAAGAAGGGATTTGGAATCCATTCACTCTATGGAAAATGATAAACGAGAAGATCGATGTGTTTAAACTAATTTAGACATTACATAAAGTACACATGTATCAAAACATCATATGGTACTTCATGTATACAGTTTTCATGTTTTTAATATATGGGTCTAAAAACTTCATAAAAAAGAAGATTGCTATGAGAAACTTTAAGTATCATCACCATAAAAATGGTAAGTATGTGAAGTAACACATGTTAACTAGCTCAACTTAGCCATTCCACAATCTGCACATATTTCAAAACATTATGCTATACACCATACATATAGGCAATTTTTTGTCAGTGAAATTTAAATAAAAATAGACCAGATGGAGTGGCACACGCCTGTAATCCCAGGGATTCAGCAGGATGAAGCAGGAGGATTGCCTGGGCAACATAACAAGACCCTGTATCAAAATGAAAACTAAAAAGGGCTGGGGATCCAGCTCAGTGGTAGAGTGTCCCTGGGTTCAATCCCCAGTACAGCAATAAATAAATAAATAAAGGAATAAAAAATGAACACATGTAAGCAGTTACATTTCATATCAGACTGTTTAGAGTCCCTGTGCGTGGGTGCTCACACTCCGGAAACAGATCTGAGGTCCCGGCAGGTGGAACAAGATGCAAGACACAGTTGGGATCCTAGATATGCACTATTCAGAGGTGGCGACAGCCTTGAGCCTCCAGAGGGTAGTTGGTGGTGACCATCCATTGTGCCCACAGATTAAAGCTCTTTGTTGGAAATGAACAAGTGGGAGTCCACACACCTAGTCAGGATTTCACTCCAAGGTTCATCTGCAATTAGGCACGTGCACAAGGTTCAGGCCAACCTTCAGAACTCACTGAGTGGAGAAGCATGAAGAGGCAGGATACAGCCTAGGGTTCTCCAAGCCAGCCTCACATCCACTCTGGCTGGGAGAAGAGGATACAGGGAAAGGGGGTGCACTGAATGAGAGAAAGGGCACAACAAACATTCCATATGGGCACAACAGAAATTTGTGATCCAAGCCTTATAACTTGCCACTTAATTCCCCAAGGCTGGAAGGTCCAGCCCAACAATGGCCAGTGGTGTGGGTATACTCATTACAGCAATATTATCATGCTGTAGTTGCTATGAATACGGAACAGACAGAATGGAACCTGTGTTCAGAGGGAAGAAGCAGGGCAGATGAAGCTAGTCGCCAAGGATCAGGTTTGAGCCCTGGCAAGGCTCGGTTATATATTGCCCCCCTCATAAAGATGGCCCCTTGTTTTCCTGGACAGTGCCCAGTGCTAAATTTGTCCCAGTTAGAACCAGCCTAGATGTCTCAGGTGGCAGAAACCCCAGCTGCAGAATCTCTGACCAGCTTCCTCAGGCACATGTCAACTTGCTGTGTTATCCTTCCAAGAAGTAGCTACTTGGGTCAGTGTCTCAGCCACAGCCTGAGGAACCCAGCCCCAACCCTCTTAGGTGGAGGTTTGAGCTGGATGGTGTAAGTACCCTCTGCCAGTCCTTTCTGGCTCTGAGGACTGTGGTTGCTCTACCTTGTGTGTGACATTCTTTCTCTCTGAGCCCCCCGCCCCCCCCGCCCACGGGGCCCAGAAAGGACACAGAGTGAGAATGTGGGAAGAAGGGTGGCCCCAAACCTGACCTGCTCTCCACGGGGAGTCCCTCTCTCCTACTTGCCATCCTTACTGTGTCTATCCTGCACAGGCCTCAGTTAGCTCAGTCCAGGGACTTCCAAGATGAGGTGAGAACCAGCTACTCTGAGGTAGCCAGCTGGTATGCCACTCCATTGACAACACAGGACTTTTGAAAGACAATATTCACACCAAAGAAGGATCAAGAGCCTATGCCAGAGACTCCCCAGATTGTAACAGCACTGAGTCTCTGGCCTTCAGTTTGGTGACTTCCACTTCATTCCACCCATGCCCTCTGCTATCATTATGTTCTAGGAATGTCCCCAGGAAACTCATGTTAGGTAATGCAGCAATGTTCAGAGGCAAAAAGATTGGATTATGAGAACTGCAACCTCAGCAGTGGATTAAGCCACTTGACAGATTAATAACTTGAAAAGACTACCTGAGCAGGTGGGCGTGGCTGGAATACATAGGCCACTGGGGGTGTGTTCTTGGCTCTTTGCTGGCTCTGCCTCCTGGCCGCCAGGAATTGAGCAGCTTTTCTCCACCACACCCTTCTGCCATGTTTCTCACCTGGAGCCCGGGGAACATGAATTGAACCTGAGCCAAAATATCTTGTGTCCTCTGTGTTGTTCATGTTGGGTATTTTAGTTGTAGCAACAAAAAGCTGATAAACACACCCACCTGTGAATGAAAAACACCTCCTAAAAGGGAGATGCCAAACTTACTCTTGTGCCTTTGATCCCCTATGCTTTCTAGGCCCTGCCTCCACTGCCTCTATTCCACAGGTAATATTGTCTCTCAAGGGCCATCATTCCCAATTCATTTGATACACACACACACACAAACACAGCTTAAATGCTGTATCTTCATGTGTTAGAGTTGCCCATTAATCACACAGCCTCTCAGGAATGGGAGCTGCAGAACCCACACTTGCCTCACCTCACTCAAGCATGAATCTATCCCTGAGTCTTAGGCACACCTAGCCCAACTATCTGTCGGTGAGGGTGACATCAGAACATGGAGCTCAGACAAAATCTCATGTGACCTCAAGAGGCTGGGACCAGGAATTTGTCATGTCCAGAAAAATGGTACCATGGGGGTGGTCAACCTGCATCTGGATGGGAACCACCCATGCACACGCAGACCTATCATCCACATATGCCCTAGAAACTAACTGTCCCTTTTCAAATGAGCACCATGGAGCTGACAGGCTGGGAAGGGGCTGTTTTGCTGGCTAGGATCTGGAGGATGTGGACATTCCGATTCTTGACCATCCATTCCAGATGTCAGTGGGCAGTTTTCCCCAGGCTGGCCCAGAGACTAACTGCTCTCACCTCCAACCCAGAGACAGACCCACACTTTTCTCCAAGTGTCCTGTGCATTTGCACTTGTCTGCCACCCACTGGGATGTGACTTCTGCCACTACCACCACCACCACCCCCCTACGGGAAGGAGGAAGGAAAACTGACAGGATTTGGCAACTGAGCTTCAAAGGTGAGGGCTAAGCAGGAACTAAGGACGATGGGCAATTTCTAGCTGAGCTGTCCCCCTGCGGGGTGTCACCAGAGGAAGTGTTGAGTCCAGAGAGAGGACTGGGCCCTCTCTCTGGGGAAGATGAGCTCAACTGTGACCTCTGATGCCTGCTGAAATAACTCGTTTGGTAGGTGCCACCAGGAAAGAGCCATGGGAGGGATCAGGATGCCCAGAACAGAAAAGAAGGGTGAGAGAGGGGAGAAGAGGGGCAGGGAAATGAAGCAGGAAAGGCAGAAAAGACAAGGGCTCTGGAAGAGGCTCATTAGTTCCTGCCAAAGCGGAGGACAGAAGGCAAGAATGGGTCCTACATGACGCCCCAAGAGGGCCGGTGTGGCTGGGCCCAGCCCACACATAACCCAGACCCAGAGCACCATGATAAGCTTGAGCACAGGGTTCCTGCTCAGAGGCCGGCCTAGACTCTCCTCAGGAAGTGGCCCACCACCAAATGCCAGGGGCACTATTCTTACCCGGCTCTGAAATGGGGCAGCTCCCCATTTTTCTGTCCCCACCCTCGAGTGCCCACCCTCAGACAGAGGGCAGACCACAGAACATGAGAAGCAATTTAATTTGAAACTGCTGTGAACTAGAGTGGGTAAGGGCAGAGAAGAAGCCCTGGCTGGAGAAAAATCAGAGGGAACCAGGTTGGCTGCTGCTCCTGGGCTCCACAGTCTTGTAGAGAAGGCACAGGCTCTGCTCGCCTTGTCCGAAGATGCTGGGTTCAACCTGTCAAGCAGAGCAGAGTCAGGAAATGGCCCTGATCAGGGCCAGCCCAAAGCCCTCCCAGACAGCCGGGGCTGTGGGAAAGGGGTATAATAAGCCTTACACTCACTTCAAAGGGCTTGGAACTTATCAGCAAGGGACTGCATGACCGCTGAAAGAGAGGCATAAATGGGCACTCCAGAAACAAGGGTACCGGACACAGTCCTACTGCCCAACTTCCCCACTGCCCTGTGAGGAAGCATCACCCATGCATCCTGATACACCTACAGCCCCTGTCCAAACAGCCCCGAAACTGACTTGCCCGCCTACCACTGGAACTCAACATGGAAATGTCTTCTACAAGGGAACAACATGTACTCATAGTGCGCGAACACTGGGCCATGGCAAGAACCATCGAGAAATGTGTTAAAAACAAAACAGGCAAGCAAACACATAGGACAACAAACACCAAACAAGTCACAGCAGTCAGCCCTTAAAGGGAAAATAAAGGAGGTTTCTGTAAAAGTCCTGAGAGGAGGAGACTTCTGGGACTCAATGGCAGAGCACATGGAGTTCAGACAACGCACTGCTCTTTGTTCACAGCCCCAGCAGTCAAGGCACAGAAGGCTCCCGGGCTGGCCACAGGAAAGTCCCTCCATGTGGTACTGCCTGTATCTGCAGTCCCGTCCCACCCCAAACCCCTAGGTCTGCCTCTGCTCTGCTCTGTCCTGCCCCCCCTGTACCCACCCCTGCCCCCGCCCAGGGCTCCTCATACCTAGTTGCTCTTTGAGGTCATCTCTTTCTTTCTGTAGCACCACACACTAAGCCAACAGACACCGGAGAACAAAAAATGAGGAGTGATATTCTGGCCGCCTCCTTCCTCATCCTCCCACTTTCCCCCCACTCCCCATATCCCCCATATCCCAGAGCCAGGTGGCAACACAGGCAGAGAGAACCTCAGTGGAAAGGAGGAGCTCCCCTCCCCCTTCTGAGTTGTGAGATGTGAGGCTGCACCTAAGCCAGCTTAACCTGGACAGAGAGCCCACCATCTAGCTGGGGCCAGCATTTCTAGGAGCCAGAGAAAGCAGTACCCGGGGACAGCCCTGTGCTCCAGGTGGTTGCTGCTGCCTTTCTGGAAATGGGTGACGAATGGCTGGTTCCTGGTCACCTGAAAGAGAACACAAAATCCAGCTCCCCAGCCAAGGTGTGAAGTGGAAAGGGCCCGGCTGGGTCTAAAGTGAGGCAGCAAGTTGCACCTGCTCTGCCCCACAGCTCCACCCCTCTCTTTGGGCCTGACTTCCCTGCTGCCCAGTGTCAGCCCCAGCTGCCACTGTGGACCCCTAAGCACTGTGGCTCTGGGTTGGACACTAGCAGAGCTGCAGTCACAGCCAGCCCCTGGTAGGAGCCATGTGGCTGAACAGGACCCAACAGGGAAGGCCTTGTTCTGCTGAAAGGCAGGGAAGCCTGGCAGCAAGTGACAGAGCCAGTTTTTCCTCCCACACCCATCTCCCCTGCTATCAAACCCATAAGACTCACCAGAGGTGGCAGGGCCTCTTGGAGTGAGGTCCCCCGGGCTCAGGTCCAAAAGCTGGGAGCTTCCTGAAGATTGGGGGTTGTTGGTGCTGGGGTCACCACTACCAAATTCTCCAAGATGCATGCCCAGACCAGGCGACCCTGGCCTCTGTGTTGGAAGCTGACACAGAAATATCTCACTGAGTCAGGTTAACAGGTGTGCTTGTTGAGGGTGATGATGCGCATATAGGGGCTCGGGTGTGTGTGTGGGGGGGGAGTCAAATGGTCCCATCGTCAGCACTGTCTCCCTCAGTCAGCCCCAAGTCTGGAGGAAGAGCTGAGTCGGGGAGAAGCATGGGAGCATTGAGAAAGGTCAGGCACCTCTGAGGGAAGAGCTGGGAGGGAGGAATCAGGAGGCAGATGGGACTAAACACCAATCAGTGCAGCCCAAACTGTAAGGGTTGGGGGGCGCTGACCAAGTTAGCGGCCAGACCCACTTCCCATCCCAGCCCCTGTCTGGGAAGGAGGCAGGAAATGCACAAAGTGTGACCAAGATGGAGTCATGCTTACCATGTACTTTCTTGATGTCTGCCACAACTACAGAGACCCTCCCCGCAAATATGGCATCCCAATGACAGTGGGCTCCCATGGACAACCCCTGAGCAAAGGGCCCAGGGAGCAAGGGCAAAGAAATGCAGCCTGGTAGAGCAGAAGAGCAGAGGGAGGAGGAGGGAGAGGGGCAGGGGGAGGAGAGTCTACTCACTTGGGCCTGTGGGTCTGCATCTCTATTTGGGTCATTATCTTCCCTGGCAACAGGCTGGGACTCCCGTGTCTTCTTAGCCATAGATCTCTTCCCAATGCCACTGTGCTTGGACTGTTTGGGCCCCAGAGGCAGCAAGGAATACCTCTTGGACCTCCCAAGCAGTGGAACTCCTGAGATTGGGGGGAATGTGGCTGGTTCCAGGGGAGCTGCCTTGAGTCTCTGCCCCCATGAAGGGAAGGCCCTGCCCAGGCTAACTTTTGAGCCACCCCCCAGGGATTTCTTCTCCTGGATGGCCTTCTTCTTAGAAGGAGTGGCCCTGGGTAGGGCCCCTGCAGCAGCAGGAGTGGCAGCAGCAGCAGCAGCAGCAGCAGGAGGAGGAGGAGCTCCCGGGTTGCTGGACCTGCTCCCTCCCTTGCCCCAGAGCATGCTTTGAATTTTCTTGGAGGAGCCAGCTTCCAGCTCTGCTGAAGCCTGCTTGTCCATGCCCGAGGGGAGTCCTCGAGGAGCCGGGGTCGGCAGAGGGCCCGGCATGTGAAGGAAATTCTCCCTGCCACGAACACTCGAGCGTCTGGCTGGGTCTCCGGGTTCCCTGGGGCTACAGGACCTGGCCTGGCCTCCTCCTTTG